GTGGACTATGAGAAAGCCTTTGATTCCGTCGAAATTTGGGCGGTGCTGCAGTCCCTTCAGCGGTGCCAAGTTGACTGTCGGTATATCGAAGTGCTGAAGTGTTTGTACAGTAGGGCTATGATGGTTATCCGAGTACAGAACCAGAGCTCGAAACCTATCCAACTGCAGAGAGGTGTAAGACAGGGTGACGTTATATCCCCGAAACTCTTCACCGCTGCTTTGGAAGACGTTTTCAAGCTACTGGACTGGAAAGGATACGGTATTAACATCAATGGCGAGTACATCACTCACCTTCGATTTGCCAACGATATAGTCCTTATGGCAGAATCGCTGGAGGACTTAAGCACTATGCTCAATGACCTCAATAGTGCCTCCCAACGGATAGGTCTTAAGATGAACATGGACAAAACAAAGATTATGTTTAATGTCCATGTCACACCTATGCCGGTAGTTGTTGGAAGCACTATGCTCGAAGTTGTTGACGAGTACGTTTACCTGGGACAAATATTCCGACTAGGTAAGTCCAACTTCGACCGAGAGGTCAATCGACGGATTCAACTCGGCTGGGCAGCGTTCGGGAAATTACGACATATCTTCTCGTCAGGTATACCTCAATCTCTGAAAACTAAAGTGTACAACCAGTGCGTGTTGCCAGTGATGACTTACGGATCAGAGACGTGGTCCTTCACTGCTGGCCGTATGAGGACGCTCAAGGTCGCTCAGCGAGCTATGGAGGGGGCTATGCTCGGAGTTTCTCTGCGTGATAGACTCAGAAATGAGGATATCCGCAGTAAAACCAGATTGACCGACATAGCCCAACGGATTAGTAAGCTGAAGCGGCAATGGGCCGGCCATATAGCTCGAAGAACCGATAACCGATGGGGAAGAAAGGTTCTCGAGTGGCAGCCTCGTACCGGTAGGCGTAGTGTAGGGCGACCCCCCACTAGATGGAGTGACGACCTGGTAAGATATGCAGGAAGTCGATGGATGCAGGTGGCTCAGGACCGTGCTTTGTGGCATTACTTGGGGGAGGCCTATGTTCAGCAGTGGACTTGTGAAGGGCTGTGATGATGATGATGATGATGATGATGATTAATTGATGTACATACTTCTTATTACACCTACCTCTTTATCTCTGCACTGCTCTAAGGTAGACTGGTAGATAATGCCTCAGGCATTAAGTCCGCCTATATACATCTAATGTGTATATGAAGTTAATTAAATAAAAATAAATCAAAAATGGATGGATACTAACTTGTATTTGACGTTACTCATTCATTACAGTCCATCCAATTCACTGCTAAACACAGACTTCCATACATTGCGCCATTGGAGGGATATTTGTCATGCTTGAGGCGACAGGGGATGTAAAACAGGAACGAGACAGCAGCGTTTTCCTGATAACAACCCTCTATATTAAACAACTGCGGTTACCGAACCGACAGCCGAACGTCGAACTGTGGCAAATATTCTCCCTAGAAGTGATCTACTAATAACATGTAATAATGATGAATGGAAACAAATGTAAATAAAAAAACACATCATTACAAACGTCATTACTGCAGATGTGTACTGTGAAGAACTGAACAGAATGATAGAGAAGCTAGCACTTCTCCAACCAGCTTTGGTCAATCGCTCGTACCCGCTGCTCCCGCACGACAATGCGTGACTTGCTACTGCACAACAGATAGTCTCCAAGTTACAAGAGCTGGGGTTGAAAGCTCTCCGTCATCCGCCGCATATACCAGACCTACAGACTTCTACTTTTTCCAGAATTTGGATAACTTCTAGGCGGGAAAAAAATTCAATACCCTTAGAGGCAGTACAAAGCGCCTTTGAAGAATTTGTTGCGTCCCATCCAGTTGATTTCTTCAAGAAGGGAATTAATACCACTGTGTTGGCAAAGATGCATCGATTGCACGGGTGGTTGATGTAACCACAAATTTCTTCAAAATTCTTAAATAAGTGCAAACAACGAGAATCGTCAATAATTTTTTTTCTCTCGATTGATATTTTTGCTTGTAGCTTGTAAAGGCGCGGTAATGTCGAAGATTTTATTATTGACTGAAGACTTAACAGTTAACGAATTAAAAAAAGTCTAACTTGACATCGGCAACAAGGAAACCTCTACTGGAAAATTTCTAATTGCTTGTAAGTTATATAAAAAAAAAATATTTCTTATAAAAACATTTATCTTCTCCGTGAGGCCACATCGTTAATGACTACCCTTGATTTGTGTGCTGGGTACTAGCAGATTAAAGTTCTTGATGCAGACTAGGATAAAACAAGCTTCGTTGCGCTATTTGGCATATTATACAAATTCACTCGAATGGCTTTTGGGCTCCAAAACGCGCCGACAACGTTTCAGCGTCTGATCGATCGAGTGAAGATAGAACTAAAAGGTGTGAAGATAGCACTAAAAGGTGTATAATAGATGTTGGCTTACACTTAAAACTACACAGTTACCAGCAATGTCTTATAAACAGTGAAAATAATTTATCGATCGGTTAATTAATTACGGGACTACGTTAATGAATATTTTCCTTCGATGCAATAACATGATATGTAATAATACTATGATATAAATAATTGACATGTAGATGAGTTACTTGCCTTATACTTGTTAGAAAAATATACATACCTTTGCTGATTACCTAAGTACTTACCATATTGCAGTTATGTAAAATAATTTGTAGATAAAGTAATGTGTAAATAAATATTGCCCGTGTTTATCTTACCTTGCACTTACATTAATAAACATGTGGTTGTTGATATGTCTAATTTAATAAGCGTGATGTAACTTTGATTCTTACTGTGTATTCTTGTTTATATATTTATCGATATTAAAGGACTGCGCCCTTTGGGGGGCGGAATGTTAAAGCGCGTACTTACCTAATGAAGGTCACCTATAACTGGCTATCGATATATAGTAAAATCATACAGTCCACCAAGAAATGTTATAAGTATGTAATGTCAGTTCAAAATAAAATCTCCTATCGTCCGCACGTTTATTTATTATAAAAGTATGCTAAATCAAAGTAAACTTTAGCGCTTTAGACAGGCATGCTTAGGCGCATTCATAGTGCTCGGCAATACGTCAGTGCTGTGATGCAGCAAGTGGTTTTCTTACATAGGAATAAAATTTACACTGGTCTATCTATCATTCAGCGGCGAAACCTAGAAAGAAAGAACAGACATTTGAAAACAATGCTGACAAACTTTTTTTTTTTTTTGCGGATGGAAAATCATCTAATGACCCCTCTCGCTCTGGGTGGAGCGTAAGGGAGTGTCAGACTTTTACTGACTAAAAACCATCCGTGTTCCTTCAGTGCCCTTACGTTCCGGAGCCGCGGTATCTCTTTCGAATAGCCCGTAGCCCCGGCAGGCGTCGGCCCTTGCGGGCCCCATCACGCTGCTGACAGCTCTTTGAGGCGCGCGTGGAACAAAACGCGACGTCGACACGGCCTGTCGTCGTTAGACGGATGGACGACGAGCTACCCATTGCTCGCCGTCCACAGGCCCGCGCCTACGGTGGCCGGGGGCCACGACGTAGCCCCCCGACGCCCGGGGCGTCTCCCTCGGCGGCCGGAGAGGAAAGCTGCTGCTCTTTCCTTCTCCCGCTCCGCCACCTCCTTCGCTAGCATCACTGCTTCGCAGAAGGTGGTGACGGCATCCCATTCCGTCTCGCTCCGGACCATGGCTTCGACCAGGGCCGGACGCGAGAGGTCGCCGCCGCCTATCGCCGCTACGAGGACACGGCGGTGCTCCGCCCAAGCAGGGCACACCTCCACGGTGTGTTCCACCGTGTCCTCCGGTCCATCCTCGCAGTGGGAGCACCCGGGCGTTTCCTCCCGCCCGATTCGGTGCAGGAACCTCCCGAACACTGACAAACTGCCCTGTGTGCGATTTTCAATGAATACAGCAAAAAGCCTCACGACAGGCTGCTCTTCGACCTATTTGACTTTTGGTCGAGAGCGCAGAACGCCAGAAGATACGCAAAATGGTTTCAGACAAGTAGACCAGACTATTTATCTGAAATAATTCGTGCGTGAATTTTGAACTGCAAATATTTTATTTCCAAAACAAACCTTAATTCATACTTTTGGCTAAAATTCTAAAAAGAGTTTAAGCCGTCAAAGAAAACTAGGAGGAAATGCGAAAGAAACGAGGTGAAAAAACACGACGACCCGATCTGGACTACAAACCTAGTCCGTGCTACGATTCATACGATAAGCAAGAGTCAACAAGGCACCAGCGCTAAATTCGCCACATGAAATTCATCACAACTACTTAATGTGTGATCATTTCACAACAAATGGACTCAGGAGCACAAGTTGATACCATATTTACCGATTTCAATAAAGCTAATAGCCATGGTAATTTATATATATAGTTTTCGTCGTGTATAGGTAATAGATCCCAGGTGGTTACAATAAATGGGTTTACGTTCTAGGGGATGTCAATTGCTTCTGGTGTGCCTTAAGGCTCTTTGTTATGGCCTTTACTTTTTGTTATTTTTATTAATGACATGCCAGACTCTTATTATACGCAGATGACAGAATTTTTTATGGACATTAATGGCTTCGCTGATAGTTTACAATTCGATTTCTTTTGTAACTCTTTATTCGTGCAAGTAGCTTTTTCAACAATCTCTCAATTGGTAACAGCAACTTGGAATTATTTTAGATTAAACCTTTAAATATCAACAAACTGTTGCCTCAGTTTCTTTCTTCGTTCGTTTCTCATTATATGTGCGTCATAAATTATTATTTTCCGTATTTGTATTTTTTTAATTGATCAATTTTGTTTTGAGGTAAAACTTATGTGGTCTGAAATATCATATGCGAATACCTTTGAATATGTATGTAGATTTCAAATATTGTAATATGTGTTGGTCTCTAAGCGTCTCTGCTGTTGGTGTTCTAAATAAAATAAAATAAAACAGTGCAGTTTTGATTCTATAAATAAGATTAACTGCAGTGACTTACTGGTTATTGCAGTGATCATTCGATGCGCGTGGGGTCGCTACGCGTGGTCTCTGAGCAGCCGCGGTGCGCCCCGCTGTGCCACCCGCGGAGCGACGGCTTGCGCGCGCCCCGTGCCCATGCTGGAGCCGCCGGCGCGCGCACCGCCCACCTGCCTGCCGCTGCCCGCCGCGCCGCCCTGCGCCGTGTCGGTACTCGCTGCACGCACCGCGCTACACTATACTACACTACACTATACTACACTACACACTGCACGCACTCGGTGCCAATGCTGAAGCACTGCCGCCACTGCACAACACTACTCTATATTGCTATATATTACACTACATTTTTACTATACTGCGGTATACTACACATTAAACTATACTCATACTACACAGTAGACAGAGAAACCTATAGACAAATTGACGCCTTCTTTCGCATTCGCACACGAAAAAGATAGATTTATGCATACGTCTTGCATGGAAATGAGACAGAGCGGTGTGATTGTCCCTTTCTCCGTGCCGGTTTTTTTGTTTAGCAAACTACACTTTGCTAAACAACTTTGTAGCGATCTAAGGAGTTTACAAGTTGGTTTAAGTGAGAAATAATGTGTTTTGTGAGCTTAAGATTGGTGAATCTTTGTAATATTAGGAAATTCGGGGATTAAATGATAATACGTCTAGTGTTCTTGTAAAAAGTAAAGTAAAGTTACAGCCTATATGTGTCCCACTGCTGGGCACAGGCCTCTCATTTCTGAGAGGGTTTTGGGGCAAGGAACAGTCCTCCGCGCTGCCCCAATGCGTGTTGGCGAACTTCACATGTCTTCGAAATATTTTTTTTCTTATTTCTCAGGCGTGCAGGTTTCCTCACGATGTTTTCCTTCACCGACGAGCACGTGGTAATCAGCACTTAACATTGGAATTAACAATTTCATTGGTACTGGCGGGGATCGAACCCGGTTTGCTCGCATATTGTGAAATTTACAGCGAGCGCTAACCATCTGAGCTACCACGGCTAGTGTTCTTGACTGTAGATTTATTACTAACTCTCTCTCCAATTCTATCCTACATATATATAAGCTCACACTATGTCTTGTTCAGTTCAGTTCTTAGAACAATTAAAATTTTTATCTAAATATGTTTAAGTCATAAAGATTATTGTATAACCTAAAACTACGTTATCGTCCTTTCTCACTCGAGGCCACGCTAATCATTAGTCTATATGTTTCTCTGTCTACGTACTACACACTATACTGTATACTATTCTACACTATAAACTTACCTAACTTACCGAAAACTCACCTGCGTTAAGCAAAATTTCTTTTATTAGTATATTATTTAGTTGTTAGGCAATACTATATACAACAGGCTTCATTGCGTTTGTTTATATAAAAAGAAATAGGAGAAAACCAACCTTAATAAAAATGGTTTAAATCATTTTTAAAATGAGGACAGTAACAGATTCACATCGGAATCCATTTACTTTTGTCTATTCATAAACGACATCAAAAGACGTATGTTTCTTGAAAATTACCTCTTTTATATGAGGGGGAGTAATTTCAAAACCCACTAAACTAACTTTAGGAAGTTTTGTACGAGAAGTTTTTATTGATTTTACTGTAGTTAATTTAACGCGAAAGGTAATAATTCATGATAAATTGGTTGCTACGGTATTGTAATCCTTATAAATGTGAAAAACCTTTTCATATTTAAGAGCATTTTCAAGAAAATTTAAAATTCAATTCTATTATGGAGGAATTTGCAGACAACCTGTCATTATAATGGATTTTGAAAATTAACTGTCATCCTATAGAGGGTTTTGCAACTAACCTTTAATGCTCGATGGATGGTGTTATGCTATGAAGCCTAGAAAACAATCTCACTTAACTGTATGTAGCTATGTATGAAAATGTACAAATTAAAAAACAAAGAGCGGGAACAATTTGTTTATTGAAAAAGAAAAAAAAATTAAATGTGTGCAGTTACGTCTTGGAAACCATGCTCACATAAGTCATTGTTCATGTTGTCGATGCCATGTGATGGTATGTAAGTTTTATTTTCTATATCAACATAATATTTTAGTTGAGGCAAATCCCTCCATTCTCCACCAAAATGTTTTTGAAGTAAATCACAAACATCTTTCACTTTGGCTTCGTTCGGTAGTATAGTGTTTGGTGATAACATTTGTGGTATAATCATTGTTATTTTTTTGTTTTTCTTTGTTATAATTTTTTTTTATTAATTTCATTGCGGTAAGTTTCTTCCCCTTGCACCAATATATTTTCTGTTTTAGTACGAGTAAGGAAAAATCGTTTGCTCCTCATGAATGGAAAGTGCCAGGATGATGTAGGTTTTATCACGGGATCATAAGCTGCCTTCCAATCATAAACTGGTATCGTTGCCAGATTGATGCACGTTCCATTTTCTTGCAAAACTTCGGTGTATTCCGAAGGAGTAACAACCACTTCTTTGGTTTTTAATGTCCTCTCAATTTTAGCGAAAACACGATCGGGAGGAATGAAGGAGTGTCCTACCACTGGAAAAATAATCTCAATTTTTTTTCACATTCCGAGGCGCTTCACTATACAACCATTTACCTAGCATGCTAACCAATCCCGTTTTTTTATTTTGGCCGGAACATCCATCACAAACTACTCTTAGCTCTTAGTACCTTCACGTGCGATTCTATAACGGTTCCTTGCAAGAAGTGGTAAACTGCACTAATAATTTGGTTGCTGCCCTTAGCATGATTCAACTCAGTCCAATAATAGGAACGCACATTTTCCTTTGTCAGTTTTGTTTTTGAATTTCCTTGTACTATGGCAAAATGGTAGAAATTAAATTGCCTGCTAAAATAAGCCGACTGATCGGGCAGTTTCGGAAGCGGTTGGTTTTTTTGGCAATCAAATGTAATTGTTAAAATATCTTTATTTTCTTCTTTTATAATGTTATAGAAAGCTTTGTATTTTAACCTGTGGATCCTCTTTTCTATCATTAATTCATTTCTCTTTATAGGACTTTTTTCATTTTTCAGGCGTTCTTGTAATGAAATGCACGTGGAACATACATCTGTTCTGGGAGACCCAAAACCAAAGTTGTACGAATTATTTACAATTTTTCTAAAAAAACTTTCCTTAACTTTTAAATCCTCATCTCTTTCTTGGTTGTACATCCGCCACATCTTTCTAATATTCAACCCTGATGGCAAATAAATTCTGTTTGTTTGCGATCTGCAATAGTGACTCTCGATCCCTTTAAATTTTTCCAAAAACCAATCTACTGACAACCTCTTCGCTTCATATTGTTCACTTTTCCTATCTCCTCCCTATTTTCTTTTAATGGAGAACCATCGCTCAAATAAAAACGTTTCATCACTCCCTGAACCCTATCTTTCTTTATTTGAAGCGAGTCCAAAAATGTTTTTTGACATACCGGTTTTCGACCACCTCCACTGACAGGTATATTGTACTTAATAGTTAATTTCCGTTTACTGTTTGGATTATTTTTTATGGTTTGATTGACAAGACAATATCTTAACAAAAAATTATCTTGATCGATTTTGGTCTTACATTTATAAAAATTTCTATGAAATTTTCGGATGTCTTGACAAGAAACTAGGTTGCACCGAAAAGCTTTTTGATTATGGTCGCAAGAAGGAAATTTTGGGAGTGATTTTGGCTCGTATCTAAAACAAAAATAGCAATAAAAGTTTGGGAATAGTAATACTTGACGAATTATTTTGGGAGCTGACCTTTTTTAGCTACTGAAAAAAGACATGATAGGTAATTGAAATAGATGCCAATGGCACTCATTAAGTTTTCATTATTATTTTTCCCCATTCTTTTAGTAAATAACTTACAAATAAATAATAATAGACCCCAAACAAAAATAAATAAAAAATATTAAAGTAAAAAGTTTAAATAACTATGTGCCATTGACACCTATTTCATTTACCTATATACCCAATTTTTTTAGACAGCTTAAAAAGCCAGCCGGTATACTACTCAAAACAAAATAAGGTTCACTCCAACTCTGTGTTTTTGTTAAAATACTAATTAATTGATTAATATTTATTGTTAAGTAGTTACTAATAAATACAGAGAAGAGAATACACAGAAAAGTTTTCTACATTGGCCCAACCGGGAATCGATCCCGGAACCGCAGAGATGGCAACGCCAAGTCCAAAATTTTCGCTTTTCGGCTACAGAGGTCGTCAATTGAAATAATCGAACATGTTTTGAAAATAATATATTAATAGCCTTTAAATACGGAGGCCCTTATTTTATTTTAAGTAGGTAAGTATCTACTTTACTTAGAAAGTAACATAAAACAGTAAACATTCATGTCAAAACGGTATGTTTTCCTTAATTCCAGTGAGTCTCCTAATTGCGAGACTTACCTACATTACTTCATGTTGCATAAAACTTTCTAACGAACTTTTTAAGTAAGTTATAGGTAAGATTGTACTCACCGTTTTCGGCGCTCCTTTTCACGTTTCCAAGATTTTGGATTGCGTGGACGCTTCCGAGCATATTTAGGATCACATTTTTTGACAAATTGAGCTAGATCATCCATGTTTTTTGGTAAATTTTAATTAAAAACCGCGAGCAACTGCTATCAGCACAACCAAAATCGCCATACTGTTTTTCAAGTCACGTGTTTGCAATGCGTCGCTCCGATTGGTCGATTTCATTTTAGAGGAATTTGATAGTAACACTCGATATTTTAGCGGCATTTGCAACTAATGTTGATTTTCAAACTGAATTTACTGTGTATTTTAGCGGAGTTTGAAAATTAACATATGGTGTATAGCAAAGGAAATTTCAAGATCTTTCTTTTGATACAAAAATGTAAAAATGTATACGAAATCATTATAGGGGGTTTTGAAATTACACCACTCATATATGCTATTTATAAAATATAGAATTTAAAATAGGTAAACTTAGCTTGAAATTTACATCTTTATACACTTACACAAGCTTTATTTTATATATTTTTTAACAGGGATTCAGCGTTCCCAAGTTTGGAGGCTGTATTGAGGCAACTGAATGATCCAGATGCGCCAACTTTGTTCAAATTGCTGGAACAACAGGCAGCTATAGAGAAACGTGTAAAAGAGAGCGAAGATAACGTTGTAAGCTCTTTTTATAAAATCCAACTGTACATTAATTAGAAAAAATAAAGGTTATCGTATTAAGTTTAGTTAACACATAGAATTATTATGTGAATATATTCTTTATTTTTACTTAGACACCCGAAGAATATGTACCACCGGAACCCGTGACTGAATTTCAAACTGCCAGACTTTTTCTCTCGCACTTCGGTTACCTGAACATCGGCGGGGATAAAAAGGTAACCTATCTTTTGTCTAAATGGTAAATATGCCATCAAAAACATAACTTATATTATATATATAATAAATAGATCGACTTGACCATCGCAAGAAAACACAACGTATCTCACAAGTAATACATATTATTATATCAAATTAGATTGCTTAGTGCGATTGCCAAATCAATCTATATATTTAAAACATATAAGATTTTTGACATTGATATGGTCACTATAAAATGTTGGTTTATCTAGAAAACTGGACCGAAATTAAAAATTATTTTAGTTTTTCCTTGATTTATACACTAAACACTAATTGTATTCTAAGTTTGAAGCTTCTATGTCTGCTAGAAGTGCCTTAGAGTTTTGATGATCGGTCAGTCAGTGAGTGACAAATTTAAGAAACTTTGACTAGTTATACTTCTTAAACTACTGGTTCAAATTGAATGAAATTTGAAATATACCATTTTTATACAATGTCTACTTGGTTACCGAAATTACAGCCTTCAAGTTTTATCCACTAAGAAGTTGTAGGGGGTCGAAAATGGCCTGAATTGCTTCGAGAAAAGTATGGTCGGCCGTGCCGCTTCTTTGCTCGACTTGGCGATTATTAAAAAATTTTTTAGAAAATAAACCATCTTGATTGATCATTAACTTTTAATTAAGATTTGGAAATTTACAAAGCTCATTAACTACGTTTTAAAGTCAATAACGGGGATGTTCGCGGTGGAGCGGTCATTTAGCTAAGGGACCCGATGTAGTGAGGAAGTTGCAGCGAGCGTAGTTTGTAGCGATGCCCACTATATAATGTATGATTTTTGTAGGCCTAAAATTTCGTTTTTATGGTTATGGTATAAATAAATAAAATATGGTTGTGATTATGTCGGATTGTTTTTTATAGGACTGGGTGACAAATTAGCACACAGTCCACCTGATGCTAAGTGGTTGCTGTGGCCGATAGACATCTACATCTATCCTCGATTACGAATCACCGTCACCAGTGAGGACTAAGATAGAATGCGTCGTTTCCAGTAAAAAGTGTCTCTGGTTCTCTACACTCACCGTACGAAACACAGCAACATTAAGCTACTATTTTACGCTGGTATTCTGTCAGAGCGTGGTCCTTCCCCGGTTGAGCCGACCCATTCGTGCTACAACTACTCTCCCGTAATATAACTGCAGCATATTACGGGAGACCACAGCAATCAATCCCGCGCCAGTGAATTTCATCAACGGGTAGGAACCATAAGATACTATCAATAGATAAATAATAGAACGGCGGAGTGGGCGGAGCCCGTGTAGCCACTGAAATGTCACTAACATGTCAATTCACATGTATAAATGTCAACACAAGATGTGTTTTGACGTAACGATCGTTTCCAAATTTCGCATGCAAATTATTTAGAAAATACGAAATTGCACACTATTTACATATAAATATGTATTAAAATTTAAACGCTTTTTTAATGATGATTGTGTAAATTCACTCAGTCTGTCAAAACAGCGAATCGGGTTTGTAGTAGTGATAATACGACGTAATTGCTTGTATGTGTGCTCCCGGCGACGCGGAATCTCGTACAAAATAAGTTTGACTGCCATTCTATTGTGTATTGTAGTATTCTATGGTAGGATCTAGTGACTTCTACGAACGCGCGGGTGCTAGCTATTAGTATTTTCCTCTATGATATCAAATTTAAATGACGTTGACAAAATATGCACATAAGTAATGACACTGTTTTCTTAGTTATATTAAACAAAATTTGTAATTGATTGTCGATAAATACGTTCGCAGTTTAGAAGACAAAGAACTAGTCTTCTCGTCTGCTTGCAGATGACTGTAGGAGTTACGGAGAGTTGAATGTTAACTTAAGTGCATAATGTATCAGTGCTGTAGTGCTCGTTTAGCATGCATAGAAGTCTTTGGTAGGAGCAGTGTACAAGCGGGCGTCTTTATGTGCTGTTTTTACTTGTGAAAATGAGAGGTTAAGAGGGTGGTAGTATTGGCTATAGCGGCCTCGGGTGCTTCAGTATGAACGTGTGGTTGAAGCGGCGAATCGTGCGGTGTGCTGGTCAGGAATGGGGTCTATGCTTGATGTTTGTAATTGTGAAAATGGGAGGTTAATGCCGCTAAGGTCAAAATACCATAAATTTTTTACTTTAGCGGCCCCGGACGGCAGCAACTTATGTTATGACACGTAGGAGTTTGTATGGTTGTAATATCAAGCGTACGTTACTGCAGGGCGGGAATGGGTGTTTATGCTTGCTATTTGTAATTGTGAAAATGGGAGATTAAGGAGACGGTATTTTTGACTTTAGCGGCCCGGGTGGCAGCAACTTATGTTACGGCACGTAGGAGTTTGTGTGGTTGTAACATCAAGCGTACGTTACTACAGGGCGGGAACGGGCGGCTGTGCGCGCTGGACGCGGGCGCGGCGGGGCTGGGCGCGGCGCTGCGACGGCTGGACGCGGCGAGTGCGCGCGCCGCGCTCACGGTGCACGTGATGTACGCGCGCGCCGGACAGCGCGTCGCGCACCACATCGTCGCCAACGCGCACGCGCGCGACCTCGCGCCCGCCTACGTACACATGCTGCGCGGGTCAAGAACTTTTTTATTTTTAATTATTATAAGTTACAACGTTAGCTACGTGGCTTTTAGCTATAGTATGGATGATTTTTGTGATTTGGGATGAGACATCGACATCGACAAAGGCTAGACATGTTGGCGTCATTTCGCGCGCTCAATGAGAAAGAGCTACGCAAAAAGTGAAAGGCGAAACACGCCACCAGCCGACCAGAGTCGTCAATCGCCGCCGCTAGAGCAGTTGGAGCTAGAAATTAGATATTCACCTCTTTGGCAGTCGGCCACAGAACAACTTAGTAGTGACCGCTAGCGCAGGTTCATTTATCGTCGTACACTAGTGCGAATAATTTGTCGTCGCGCACCACCGTAGCTGCACCTAGCGCCATTAACCTCAAGGCCTGAGTAGGAGGCAATCAGAAGATCAAAGCCCAAGTAAGTGCACTTTCCCATCTTGAGCTGTTCTCATTAGTTGTTCTTTTCCCACAGCAGCTCATGCTCCTGTCCCTGCCAGCTGATATAGTAAATTAGGTCCTAGTAGAGAGTCCGCCATTTTGTTTTGGTTATAGAGAACCTCGCTTAATACAGTCCACCATCGTTAATCTCGCATACAAATCTCGATGTCATTATTCCCAGAATCGAACCCGGGACCCTATAGCCAATCATTTTGTGATTTCCTCTTTCCGAATACAAAGGGCAACCCAGTCACCTTAATCATTTATTGAACATCCGGACTCGTCCAGGAACCAGTAGCGTCACCATTTCACCGGATTTAAAATTAGCAACTCTACCGCTACACCAATAACTGAATTAATAAAAAAACTGCAGTTGTCAAGTTTGGCAACTCTTATCAGGAAATCTGGCAAGACTTTTATTCAGTAGTACACTTGTAATAAGATGTACTAATTAAATAAATGTACGTTTAATTGGATTTCTATAAGAAGGAATTTAAAAAAAAATGAGAAGATTTCCATGGCAAATTGAATTATAAAATATCTACGTAGGCGGTCCCATAATGAATTGGCCTAACTATGAACCAATGAAGGAAATGAAACGAAACCAATTTTATTTTTCAATATAATCACCATGAATACTAACACACTTCCGACATCTGTGAATCAACATCTCTAAACCTTTATAAAAATAATCACATTTTTTATCCTCAAAATGACTGAAGACGGCCGCCTGCAACTCTTCATCGCTTGAAAATTTTCTTCCTCTTAAGTCCCGCTTTAAATTTGGAAATAAATAATAGTCGGACGGGGCCATGTCTGGACTGTAAGGTGGATGTTGAACTTCTGTGAACCCGCATTGACGAACTGCATCCTTCGAAACACCAGCGGTATGAACAGGGGCGTTGTCATGGAGCAACAGGACACCTTTAGACAGCTTGCCTCTTCGTTTTTCCTTTATCTTGTCTCGTAATTTATATATTAAAGAAGCATAATATTCGCCGTTCACGACTGTATTACGTTCTTTAAAATCCACCATCAAAATGCCTTGAGTAGTAATCCCAAAATATTGTGCACATCATTTTTTTAGTCGATTGTTGCACCTTTGCCTTTCTAGGGGGCTTTTCACCCTTATAACGCCATTCCATTGACTCGCGCTTGCTTTGTGGATCATAATACAAGATCATAGTTTCATCACCAGTCACTAGCCGCTCGATCACAGTCTTTGGATTTTCGCCACAAAGATCCAAAAACTCCGAAGCACAGCGCACTCTTTCCTGTCTCTGTACCGCTGAAAGAAGTTTCGGTACCCATCTTGCACTCACTTTTTTCATGTGAAGATGTTCATGGATCGCGCGATGAACGGTACTCTTAGAGAGCCCAAGCCTTGCTGCAATTTCTCTAATCTTTAAACGGCCGGTCACTCAGAACCTCCTCTTCGATAAGAGCAATCGTTTCGGGAGTGAGCACTTCCACAGGTCGACCGTCGTGGCCAAGTCTTCGACGGTTTCTCTCCCGAGGCGAAACTCTTTTCACCCAATTTTTCACTGTGCTATAGGAGGGGGCAGACTCCTTATACACGCCATCCAATCGTTCTTTTATTTGGGCAGGGTATAAACCTTCTTTAAACAGAAACTTTATGACACTTCGATACTCAGTTTTCGACATTTTGAAAAAATACGCGACTCTCGTTATTCAAATGCCTGTTAAACTAAGACTAAGCATTTCATGTCGATGCATGTTTCTTATATTAAGTGCATGATAAACGTACTATTTAATGCAACACAACATGTAGCGACATGTCGCGTTGAACTATATCAGGCCAGTTCATTATGGGACCGCCTTTTAAATATTTTTTTTTTTAGAAAAAATTTTTTTAAAAAAATTAGGGGTGGTGTTTCACTTTTTTGATTAATTGTTTTTTGAATATCGTTCTTATTATTGTTTTTTGTACCCATTTGATATTATTATTTTTTAATAGATAGCCCCAATCTTATTTGATATATCGGATGATTTTTTTTTACCGCCTGGAAAAATATGTAGTTTAACAGGTGTACGTAATGGAATCCTATGGCACTGATATTTTGCAGTTTTTTTTTATTTGACATTAATATATCATGAAATTGATCTATCAATAAATACTAATAATTGGGTACGTATTATTTTAATTTCTGTAGTTTTTGATTTATTTATTTAGTTAAAAATTGTTTATTTTTAAGTACCGAAAGTTTATTTCAAATAAGTAGTATTTATTGATAGACCAATTTCATAAATGTTAATGTAAAGTAAAAAAGTGTAAAATGTCAGTGCCATAGGCTTCCATTCCGTTCACCTGTTACACCATTTCTTTTTTCCAACAGTAAAAAAACGTCCAGTTTATGGTAATTTCAAGGGGCATTGAAATCACGCTCAACTTTTGACACACGTTATACATCTTTCTATTATCATAAGTCGATTGCTGGGAATACTTGTGAACCAAAAATCATGTTAGTTGCAAACTATTTAGATGTATATGTGTGTGTGAGTGCGCTTGAAAGTCGCAACGCTCGTGTTCGTTCGTGATGTCTGTGGCGACAACAGTTGTGAGGTAATGTGCGCGTGTACGCGTGTGCTACGCAGGCTGGGGCGCGCGGTGCGCGTGCGCGGGCATGCGGGCTGGGCGGGGCGCGCGCGCACGAGCTACGACGCGCACGCGCCAGTCGACTGCCGCCAGCAGCCCGACCACCGCTCGCCGCCGCCGGACGAACGCACGCCCGCCATCTACGACGGACGCGAGCAGGTCGCTTCCACTTGCCTTCACCTTTACCCAACCTCATCTTACCATTTGCTATAAAGTTTTTAAATGTATATGACAGCGCCTACGCCATTATTGTGGTTTTACGGTGACGCTTTCGCCAGCGCGGATGGTAAGCCATGCGCGCAGGCGACCCGTTTTTCTAAAGATTTAACTATAAAACGAGTTCAGGGTCGCGCGGTCTGCCGCCTCGTGCAGCTGTGACGAGACTTCTCGCATTTATTATTCTATATTACATATGGGAAAAAGGCAAAGACGACGACGTATACAAGTACATCCTTACACTGCCACTAGATTGTTGAGAGGCGCGTTCTCTACATCGGATTTAAGACATAGTGACAAGTTCTTTAAACATTTTCGTCTGTCTATAACATCATTTGATGAATTACTCTGCAAGATAGAATATAATTTAAAACGATCAAGTTTACGTCGCGCACATATAGAACCAGTTAAAAAGTTAGCAATCACATTCATTTTGGCGATGGCGATACGCATACGCGCGTCCGACCGGCGAAACTGTGCAACGCACACTGAACTCAATGACTCCTCACCCGCGCGCTGTTTAAAAGCGCGGGCGAATAGCTGTCAGCGCGGGCCATCCGCGCGTGTTGGCAAACTATGTAACGATCCAAGAAACGCAATGCTCGTGGCCCGCGACGCTTACCAACCGCGCTGGCGAAAGCGTCACTGTAAAACCACGCTTACATGTGCGGCGACGCCTGTGTAGCTAGCCAGAATTTTTGTAATCAACACGTGCACCGCACACCTTCGCCGTTGCACCTGCAGTGGCACCTGTGTACAAGTAACTAGCCTACTTGTTTTGCTTGCATAAAAGAGACGGCGCGACCGGCGTTAGAGAAGTCTAAGCTCTGGCGTGGCACGGTGCACTTATTGTATTCCGTTACTAGCTCATCCTTCACCCGTTGGTGGAATTAATTCGTGGGAACAAATTAATTATTTTTCTCAAATACAAAATTAGCCTCAGTACAATTTATATTTGGTTAGCTCCGTTCTTATCAATGTGATATAAAATGATAAATTGTAAATTAGCTTTATTTAAAAGAAATGTTCCACTGGGATTCTTGCTGGTACTTCCCAGGATGGAGGTGTTATCTACACCGCTGGTAGAAGTACTGTATTGAATAAAATGATTCTTTTCTATTCTAAAAGCCCTTTCATATAACCCTACATTTAATATTTCCGACATCAATATGTTAATACCTTTAGCTTTATACCCTCATTTTATTTATCCTGTCTGACTACCCTCCTACATTAGAAGTGGTATTAAAGCTTTCAATAATAACTCCACGTTTTTAATTAATTAATCTCCTACATATCTATATTTTTTTAAAACATACGAGCACACAGGTGAATGGATGCTGCCCCCCATAGACATCTACATCTATCCTGAATTAACAATCAAAATACAAATGCATTGCCATTCCTAAAAACTAAAGTGGAATCTCCAAGTCTCTACACTCAGTAGTGAAAGCAGTAGTAGTTGTAGTGCAACCATTACTTACTTGCAGAAATTTCATACTTTATAATTGCATAATATATCGTGGGTCTGTTACTATAAAAACGAATATGTATATGCGTGTGCGTGTGCGTGTGCGGGCGCGCGTGCGCGCGTGCTTGCGTGCGTGCTTGCGTGCGTGCGCGTGTGTGCGTGTGTGTGTTAACGTAAACAATACACTGCTGTGCATGAGCCTCTTACGGTACGTTTACACCAAAACCGATTTTGTCGGCCGATGGCAGACAGAACTACCCGGAGAAATAACTCGGACGTGTATGTGCTTTCACTGCAACAGTGTACCACTTGTGCCCACATTGGACGTTGCCGGTATTCTTTTATATTTTTATATTTTCAATATTCATAGTCGTTGAGGTAGATAACAACACTGACAGAAAAAACAGAATAAAGACACAATTTATTAGAACCCGCGTAAAAGAGCTGACGTGAAGCATCAACGTTCCGGGAAGTCTGCAGTTTGCGATCCTATTCTAGATGGCCCCAATCATTACATCAGATTTGATAGACCACAAATCCTCGCGAAAGAACATCGATTCCTACCAAGGATGATACGTGAGGCTATTGAAATTAAAAAACATCCTAATTTCAATAGAGAAGGAGGCTGGGTACTACCACCTGCTTGGGATCCTATAATTAATAAAATTAAAACTAAACCCAAGCATACCACTGCAAGACTTCAAAATACGGTTAGTTCATTCTGCGTAGATCGGACCAAAGACAATAATTAAAAAGCTGAAGGTACTCCGGGTTAACTTTGACATCGGGACGTCAGTCACCTCAGTCCCCCGTGACCATGGGTGCTGGAAAGCACCCGAAACGTCGGGTATTAAAATTAATATAAATAAAACGCGATAAAATCCGTAAAAGTAGTTTTAATCAATATAAAGTTTTTATTAATTTTTAATATTTAAAGGGCATTGCCCACTCTTCATAGACATTTCGGCCATGGGTGCCCACATATAAAAGCATATAGATATGATAATATACAATTAAAGGAATGAAATGGTTAAGAAATTGGTTTAAAAAAAGTCGGGAATTTTAAGATATAAAAGTTTTTATTTTCACAAATACAGTTTTTTAACAACTAATTTTACCGATGTTATCGCATTTAATTTCTTTGATTTTTAATTCCCGACTTTCGGGTGCTTTCCAGCACACATGGTCATGGGGGATTGAGGTGACTGGTGTACCGAAATCAGTGTTAACTTGGAGTAACTTCAGCTTTTTAATAACTATTTATGGTCCGATCTACGCAGAATGAACTTACTGTCCTGAAGTCTTGCGTGGTATGTTTGGGTTTAGTTTTAATTTTATTAATTACAGTGTCCCAAGCAGGTGGGAATACCCAGCTTCATTCTCTATTGAAATTAGAATGTTTGAATCTGGGTGCAATACATTACCGACTTCAGATTGCAACGAGGATGAACTAGATGATTCAGATGGTTCCCGTTCTACAGTTGAATGTGATGCTGCTCTATCAAACCTTCGCCAACAATTATGACACACACGAGATGACGATGGCAACTGAAATAATATTAAATAAAAAAGTGAAAAAGTGAACTAAATAAAAATAAAATAGATTTGTTTCCTTTAAACTCAAATACATATAAAATATTTATCAAGGAAATTGTTACTGCACAAAAGAAGACTTAATGGCCTATATTATTTAATAATTAAGCACTTAAAAACTACCAGTAGTACAAAAACAATGAAAAATCAATTGTCTCATTACTTGGTAGTTGGTAAAAACGGTAGCAGTCTATCTGGTGGTGACAAGCTAATCTTATCGCCATGTTATAAATAAGCTTGTATGTTTGTCAGATATAGTTTGTGTGGATGTAATCAGAGTAAAAACATGTATCACTATCAGATATGAGCACACACACATAATAAATTAAAAAATGTTGAACACGTACCTCACGTGGTGCAATTTGATGGGCAATTTCATTCCTTATGAGTTCCTCACGTGGAGAATCAGACCCAAACAATGTATGTGATCTTATTCTCAAAAGTGACTTGCCACAGCTGATACATGTCCATGACTATTAATTGGTGAATTTTCCTGTTCGCTAGTTGGATGTCGTATTTGATTCCAGGCTGCAGTCTTAACATGCGTGGCATACTACACTATCACTCGAACCTATTCTTGTATAAGATTTCGCAGTTCTGGAATTTCCAACAAATGCCTTCGTGTTTTCGCTATATGATGGGAAAAAATGTCAGAGTCCATTTATAAGGCTAGTTCGTTACTTCGATAACAAATTCACAAAAATAAAAACAAACAAAGTAACACGCAAATGAATTCTACATGTGACTATTTATATAGGTATAGATCATAGATAAATAAATATGTAGCAAGGTATAGATATAGTTGTGAAATGTGAACTGAATTGTGATTTCATTCCATGACAGGGCCTAGCTGTCAGACTCGATGTTGCCACTTAACTGACATAAAATCGATGAAAAGATATCGATTTTTATTCGATTAATAATATCGTTAAAAAAAAACAATCTTTGAGGTGCTTTAAGTTCTGCACACTTTATAAAATATATTTTCCTTTATTTATTTAAATGCTATTTGAAATGTATTTTTAAGAACAGTTAAATTGTGCAGTAGCGTTTTGTTAAGCTTTAACCTTTTGAGCGCCACGCCAAAAACGCATTACCGTGTCCTGTACGCCAAAGCGCCAAAACAAAATAGTGTTGCCAAGAGTTGATATATCGATGACGTAAAATAACTTGTTTTTGTTGGTTTTTTATTCTATAAATGACTCTTTATAAACTGTATGTTTTATTTAATCTTGTGCTGTCATCCACTCTTTTTATATATGTACTTTGTACATATAAACATAAATAAAAAACAAACAATAACAATAAAATAGTAGTAAACCACAGCACTACTCTCCATCCTAATGACGACACTGTCACGACTGGACGACAACGGCGTAGCTGACCTTCCTTTTTTTGAACATTCTTAGAATGTTGTGTATCGATTTCAAAATCGATCTAACCGAAATATACAGACATCGATTCATAATATTTTATGTGTCGGGGAAGGCGTAGACCAAGTGACGCACAGAAGAAAAGTCTTACACTCTTATGACAATGGGGATTTGATGTGATGCTGATGCTGCTAGATGATTTTGAGACTGAGAAAGAAAATGGCACAACACAAAATGAAAAATTGCTCTTCACACCTTAAGTAAAAAAACATTAATTGTAATTTTGTATTATTATTAAAAAAGGTACATAATTATTCATTAATCAACAATTGTATATAATTATTCGCACTAGGTAAATCAGCCTTATAATATTAAAATCTTGGTCATGGAATAAATAAACATAATTGTTCACCAATCAATCAAAAATTCAATTCATCAATCAAAAATCAAAATTCATCATCATCGACGCTTTCCAAAATCCGAATGAGTTCTGAGGAATCGTTCATGTTGCATTGCTCTACTTTTCTCGGTAATCACTTATGACATCATCAGGGTGTCGTTTATCCTTGATCACGGTGCCCAGTGAACTGATTTTCGATAACGCGCTAAAGATGCGCTAGAGTTGAGATATTAGATTTATTACGCGAAAATGATCTGATAACATTTTTTTATTCATGTAGCTAATTATAGTTTTATGTTTCTAACCTTTAATTTTATTCAAATATCAATAATAATAATAGAAAAATAACACCATTGAGCTGAATTTTGGATAGTTTTCAAGAAATCTATGCTTCCCGCGTTTGACATTAGCGGTCAACCATAGACGACTTTGGCGTGCTGGACTTAGATAAAAATCAATTTTTATTACTCGTAGTTCAATGTTTCTTAGTACTTGTGGCTCTAGAAGACTTGTTTTTTATACTCACATGTTGCTGGGTTATTCCTATTTTGAGGAGTGTAGAATTAAAATACCTGTAATAATTTTCCAATATCTATATTTCATTTTTTGAGAGCCGGGTTTTTTGTCAACTATAGACGTCGTTGGCGCTCAGGGCCCGCAGGTGTTGGTCAAGTATAGGCGACTTTGGCGCTCAAAAGGTTAAAGAATTCATGGTAAATCAGCTGGAAACTAACTTGTTTCGTTATCATAACATGATTCTATTTTAAATGTATTGTTATAAACAGATAAGAATAACTTAACTGAACTGAACTGAACTGTTATTCTTATCTGTTTTCAAAGAAGATCGGTTAAGATTAACAGTAAAATTGTGCCGTAGCGTTTTGTTACTCTCTAAAGAATTCATTGGAAATCAACTAGTAATTCGCTTGTTTAATTATCATAACATAATAATTATTTAAAAATTATACTAGTACTGTAATGATGACACCATAAATAATCGATCGAAAAAGAGAATCGATTTTTTAAATGTGTTTTGTGATTGGCAACACTTTTTTTTTATTCACAAACTAATGACATAATGATCTACCTAATTTTTATCATTATCTTTTCGGTACTTTTAATTTGTGCAAAAATATTCCCATTGTTTGAGGATAAATGAATACCGCGATTAATAACTATAAATAAAGATATAATTTTTTAACAAATGCACATTGTTGGGCGTTCTATGGCCGAAAATGGGCGTCCCCCTTTGTAATAATTGTACTTTTGCAGGTATTATATTGGTCTGATTCAACGGATGAGATAGCATTCATTGTGCCTTCTGGATACGAGATCGCCGACACCGAGGACAGACTAAGCCAGAGCGACAGTCTCAAGTCTTACGTTGATGGGCCCTGCCTCTCCACTTGGTAATTATAACTATGCATTTTAGAAGTTTCGTAGATTTTGTCAATATTTTACCAATTTTTTCTTATTACCTTATAATTAATTACTTTTATAAGTGAAATTTTATAGTTTATAAAACACATAAGACGCTGTACCCTCTTAACTGACCGAAATATTCAAGCTGAATAAGATCACATAGTTTCTGAAAATTCAAAAAATTTAAAAAATGTAATCGTTTTGTAATTATTGAATTTTGTTAACTGTAATAAAAAATAATTATTATATGTTTCATTCATAATTAAATTTAAATAATAATAAATTAATTCTGATAAATTTAAAAGAATTACAAAATTTACTGTAAATTTCTAAAATGTGATATTTCTGTAAAATTGTTATTTGGAAAATAGTTTGTGATTGTGCGACATTGGTCAGCTCTTGTCCGGGGCAATTGAACCGAGGTGTTTTATCGGGCGCTTGAACGTGGATGAATTGATGCTCCTGTATTATCGCTCGAATATGATCTAACGTCTGAAAGGTAAAACAAGTGTTCCGGTAGTAATAAAAACTTCAAGTTATTTTGTCCATTATGTCACTTTGAAATATTATTGACACCACCTGACTGGTGTATAACCCCTCGTCTGTCCAAACGCCATATTCTGGCGTCTCAAATAATATGCGCATGTGTCAAACGCCATAATATGGCGTTGAGTGATAGCAAACTATTTGTAACATATGTATATATAATATATATAACATACATATATATAACATATATATCTGTTATGCATAATCTGATAGCTTATTTAATAACGTTTCCATTGATATATATTATATGATTTTAATATACTTACTTAGTATACTTGTTATATACTTACTTAGTACTTTGAAAAGTGCTCGACAGATGCGCCATATTGGCCAAAATGACCCCGACATTCGAGTGGTTAAGGTTGTCGTCAAAATCTAAAAACTACTCAATATGATGTATGAACATTTTTATAATTTAGATAATACATTACAGACCGTAATTGATGCCGTTGATGTGTTCTTGCCGTATAGCAAACGCCATAATAATTAAATTTTGGGGTATTTTTTTTTTCATTTAGCATTGGCTGCAAGGCCATCGACTAATAATAATACATCAAACATTTTCGCCACTGAAGACGGTAGTTTGTCATGTTTTCTAGGCACTTAAGTCGACTTTTGTCCAACATAGAGTTTTATAACTATTGGAACGTGCGTTTGTGTAGACATATGATACACAAAATCGCACGCTTTTTACGCATCGAAATGTGCTTTAAATTATAAACCATCATCAATACGTCAATACAGGCGTAGCAATCCGCAGGCGGTCAAGTTCCCGCCTAAATCCAGTTGCAATAATAGTGTATGTTTGTAAGCAGCTCCAAGGGTTCGGAGAGGGGGGGCGAGAGCGTACCACCAGGTGGTGTGGGCGGGCAGTACTTGCGCAGCTGCAGCGAGTCGGAACGCGGCGAAATACGAGCTCCGCTTGCAGACAGTGCGCGCGCGCTCTCACTGGATCTCGACAAGCAGCCGGACAAAATCCAAGATAAGCAGCACTCACTCACAGGTATAAACTAACGAACATACACGCACACACCCACGAGCTAACGTACAAGCACACACCCACGAACTAACAAACGCACACGCACACACCCATGAGCTAACAAACCTACAAGCACACACCCACGAACTAACAAACGTACACGCACACACCCACGAACTAACAAACGCACACACACACACCCACGAATTAACAAACGTACACGTACACACCCACGAATTAACAAACGCACACACACACACCCACGAACTAACAAACGTACACGCACACACCCACGAATTAACAAACGTACACGCACACACCCACGAATTAACAAACGCACACACACACACACACCCACGAATTAACAAACGTACACGTACACACCCACGAATTAACAAACGCACACACACACACACGAACTAACAAACGTGCACGCACACACTCACGAACTAACAAACGTACACGTACACACCCACGAACTAACAAACGTACACGCACACACCCACGAACTAACAAACGTACACGCACACACCCACGAATTAACAAACGTACACGCACACACTCACGAACTAACAAACGTACACGCACACACTCACGAACTAACAAACGACACACACACACACCCACGAACTAACAAACGTACACGTACACACCCACGAATTAACAAACGCACACGCACACACCCATGAGCTAACAAACGTGCACGCACACAATCACGAACTAACAAACGTACACGCACACACCCACGAACTAACAAACGTACACGCACACACCCGCGAATTAACAAACGCACACGCACACACCCATGCGCTAACAAACCTACAAGCACACACCCACGAACTAACAAACGTACACGCACACACCCACGAATTAACAAACGCACACGCACACACCCATGAGCTAACAAACGTGCACGCACACACTCACGAACTAACAAACGTACACGCACACACCCACGAATTAACAAACTTACACGCACACACCCACGAACTAACAAACGTGCACACACACACCCACGAACCAACAAACGTACACGCACACACCCACGAACTAACAAACGTACACGTACACACCCACGAATTAACAAACGTACACGCACACACGAACTAACAAACGCACACACACACACACCTACGAACTAACAAACGTACACGTACACACCCACGAATTAACAAACGCACACGCACACACCCATGAGCTAACAAACGTACACGCACACACTCACTAACTAACAAACGCACACACACACACACACACACACACACACACACACACACACACACACACACACACACACACCGAACTAACAAACGTACACGCACACACCCACGAACTAACAAACGTACACGCACACACCCACGAACTAACAAACGTACACGCACACACCCACGAACTAACAAACGTACACGCACACACTCACGAACTAACAAACGTACACGCACACACCCACGAACTAACAAACGTACACGCACACACCCACGAACTAACAAACGCACACACACACACACACACACACCAACGAACTAACAAACGTACACGTACACACCCACGAATTAACAAACGTACACGCACACACCCACGAACTAACAAACGCACACACACACACACGCTCACGAACTAACAAACGTACACGCACACACCCACGAACTAACAAACGTACACGCACACACCCACGAACTAACAAACGTACACGCACACACCCACGAACTAACAAACGTACACGCACACACCCACGAACTAACAAACGCACACACACATACACACACCCACGAACTAACAAACGTACACGTACACACCCACGAATTAACAAACGTACACGGACACACCCACGAACTAACAAACGCACACACACACACACACCCACGAACTAACAAACGTACACGCACACACCCACGAACTAACAAACGCACACACACAACACCCACGAACTAACAAACGTACACGCACACACCCACGAACTAACAAACGTACACTCACACAACCACGAACTAACAAACGTACACGTACACACCCACGAACTAACAAACGTACACGTACACACCCACGAATTAACAAACGTACACGCACACACTCACGAACTAACGAACGTACACGCACACACCCACGAACTAACAAACGTACACGCGCCACATACGCACTCACGCACAGATACGTAACTAAATTTGCATACAACAGGGTTTCGAGGTGTATGTGAAACCAACGGTGGGCTTTTATGGAGACAAACATAGATGTAATTCTCTAGAATTTTAACCCAAATTTTTAAATTGCAGGCAGTGGAAGAAGAAATAGAGACTTCACTCCAAAAATTCTCATTATATGGTTGGAAGATTTTGAAGATCATCTGAATTTACCAATCGGTGAGTGGTTTTAGTTTTTTTTTATAGTATAGATGACAAACGAACATACAGTCAACCTGATGGTAAGTGGATACTGTGGTCCGTAGACATCTACATTTATCCTCGATTGAGAATCAAAATGCAGGTGCGTTGTCACCCCTGAGGACTAAGATGGAATGCATCGTTTCCAATAAAAAGTGTTGCCGGATCTCTACACTTATCATATAACAGCAATATTAAGCTGCTATTTCACGCTCGTATTCTGTGAAAGCGTGGTGCTGCTTCGGTCGAGCCGAGCCATTCTTGCTACAACTGCAATATAGCTGCAGCGTGGCTCTGCCACAAAAAAAAAATATTGTGCATTATTCTTACTAAAAACTTTAACCAAATCATCAGAAATATCGACAACTTATTTGTAGTTGAATGATTTTTTTGTTTTATTTTTACTTCATCATCATCATTGCAGCCCTTCACAAGACCACTGCTGAACATGCTCCAAAAATTCTCATTATATCAAACGTCCAAGGAATGATTCAAAACACGACTAACCTTTGGGTCGCAGTTGGACTTGCTACCTTTACTTTTGAAATTACTAAAATGATTTTAAAAATTTTTATGATTAAATAATTTCCTTTCAACACTGTTGATGTTAAGTTGTAGATGGCTTGCAAAATTTTAAGTTTTTCGTACATTAACAAATTAAATAGTCGATGAGGTAAAGTTTATTCTCAATTTCTCTGGAGTGCTTCAAGAACGTGTAATAGGGCCCGTCATCACCATAATTACACCACTAGGCTTTCAGGACTGGTCATAATTAAATAATATTATTAAGTATTTGCCTATGAAATTGCCGTTTCAAAAATCAGTTAACGTAATGTTTTATCGATATTTTTATTTTTCTATTAATCAAAGTAATCACCCATACAATTGATACATCTTTGCCATCACAGTGGCAGTTTATTGATTCTTGAAGAAATCGACGAAAAAGATTCAAATACGATGAAAACATAATGAGTATCAATAAAACAAATGACTAATTTAAAAAAAATTCATGTTATTAAAATATAGTTAATTTGAAATTAGAATTCTAGCCAAAACAATAATTATTTTGATTTGCAATGGCCAGTACTGCAGAACGGCAATTTCATAGGTAAAGTATATTATATGTTAATACTGAAATATAACATTAAAGTGTAATGTCTCAAACAAAAGTCATGCGTCACACGCGGCGTCGAGTCGCGCGGATGGATGAGCCATTGAGTCAAAGAGTAGAATAACAGATGCGTCAATTTACAATTTGTAACATTTCTGCTTACACATGTACACGTAATACACTATTTGTTGCTTTTTCGCCGAAAATTAATTTAAATTAATAAAATATATATGCAATTTTTTTTTGAAATTACACTTGAGAGTAGTATAATCTCACATCCCTTTTCATTGGTTTATTACCGATTTTTTTTCTTAAAACTGAAAATATTGAGTACAAATCATTGGGCAAAATTAAAGCATACAAGCTTAGCTTTACAAAAACACAAAAATCATTGACCTTCACGTAACTTACAAATACTAACCGTACCGTACGTAATTCCCTAAATTCACTCGTTTGCGTTGTCATTTCTTGCACCCTCAACCGCAGGTATAAAAGGTCGGCTTTTTTAAAAAATTTTATGCTTTGCGCCCTCCTTTCTGCCAAGGAGGGTCGCGTTCGTATACGGCTTAGAGATCTCTAGTCAGATCGTTAAGCCAATTCCTAAAAGGCGGTGTTTAGTGGGTAAAAGTCTCCACATAACCACGCAGCCGGCTGCGTGGTATGTATGAGCATCACCGCCTCCCTCCCCCGCTTTCAGAGGGTTGCCCATATTTGCTTCGGGCGCAAAAAAAAATTTATTCAGTTGCATTTTGAAGGTCACCGTGATAACATCTCTACTGAAAGAAAGCATACGGATTTACTGCAAAAAATATGGATCCACGCCCGCAGCAGTCGCTCAAGTTATTGCCTTGCTCGAAGCAGGCCATAATCAAAGTGAATTTGCTCGGCAGCTAGATTTGAGCCGCTACTCGTGTATACCAGGTTCTAAAGGACTGGCTACATTCGGCGACCAGGATTCGGCGCTTTCTTGTGACAAGGTCTTTGAGAAATCGACAACTAAACACGGTTGAACTGGCACAACAGATTCGAAAAGTTCGCAATGTCAGTATAAGTCGGTGAACAGTTGGAAAAAGACTAGGTGAAGCAGCACTGACTACACATCGCCCAACAAATGGTCCCAAATTGACCACAGCTCACCGACAAGCCCGTCTACAATTTGCCAGGGAACACTTAAAATGGACGTATGATCAATGGGGGTCTGTTATGCTCTCTGATCAGTGAAGAATGACTACATAGTCATGATGGACGCTCTAGGGCAGGGGTAGCGAATCTTTATGTATCAACGTGCCA